TATTTTTTTCTGTCCTCTCTGACCCCTCCTGACTCTCATGTTTCTCCTTTCCTTCAGGGACTTCAATTGCATGAATATTAAGGTCATCGATACTCTGTCCATTTTCATTCTCAGTCTTTCTATTCCCTCTGTTTCATTTTGGATAGTTTCTATTGCAATATTTTCAGTTTCTTTAACCTACTTTTTTAGTAATGTTTAATCCAATGTTAGTCCCATACAAGTGGGGTTTGTGTGTGTTAAAAACCTCAGACAATGGTTTTATAATCTCTGGATGTTTGGTTTGGGTCTGTTTAAGGATTTTCCATGTCTCTACTTAATATGTTCAATCTGTCTTCTATTTTCTTGAATATATACAATGCAGTTATAATTGTTTTTTAATATCCTTCTTTACTAATTCTATCATTTTGCAACTTTCAATTGATTGATTTTTCTCCTTATTATGAGTCATTCTTTCCTCCTTTTTTGCATGCCTGATAATTTTTGATTGGATGCTAGAAATTGTGAATTTCACCGTGGGTGATGGATATTTTTGATTTCCTATAAGTATTCTTGTGCTTTGTTTTGGGACACTTGTTCTTAGAAACAGTTTGATCCTTTTGGGGCTGGCTTTTAAGACTTGTTAGGTAGGACCAGAGCAGCATTTACTCTAGAGTTAATTTTACCCCACTACTGAGGCAAGACCTTTTGAGGCATGAATTATGAGGTTTTCCAGTCTGGGTGCCAGGATCAGACCCTACTACTGGTCCAGTATGATCACTCTGCACTTCCACTCTGTCTTATATTTTCCACTCTGGCTTGCGGAAACAGGAACAGTTCCCTGCTCTGTAAAAGCTTTGGTGTTTGTTCTCTCTGTGTAGGTAGTTCTTTCCCTGGGGTTGGGTGGCATTCTCTCACTGTGCTAATCAGCTGAAGACTGGAGCAAGACCTTCTGCAGGTCTCCAGAGCTCCCTCTTTCTCCACATAGGTCTCTCTTCTCCAGTTCTCTACTCCTGGCTCAAGCTGCTTTGGCCTTCCTGGTCTCCCAGTTCTGTCTCCTCAACTCAAGGAGTCTGCCTAGCTCCTCCTGGATTCCCCCTCTCTGCACTGCATCCTGGCAACCCTCTTTAGGCAGTAAGCTCAGGCAATCATAGCGCTCATTTCGTTTGTTTCCTCTCCCTTATGGACCACTGTCCTGCACTACTGTCTGTTTTATATATTTTGCCTGTTTTACTTACTTTTAGTTGTCTTAGCAGCAGAGTAAATTCAGTCCTTGTTGCTCTATCTCGGCTGGCTAGACTTGATTATCACAAATTATTGTGATTCTGTTGATAACATAGATTGCCAAGGGTGTCACTTGTTTCCAAAACAATTCCCATTAAGTAACCTGAAACAACTCACATTGCAATCCTCATTTCCATGCAAGTACACTAAACTCTTGTGCAATGGGTGTTACAGAAGAGTTGCCCAATAAGTGAACTTTACTAAGACAATCTAAATTTTCCCTCTGGCTTACATTTTAATTCCTGTGATGTTCTCTTCCTTTCTCATTACTTTCTCTTCAGCAGTGACTTCAAACCCTGTGACTTCATTTTCTCTCCTCTTTCTTTTTCTTTATTCTTTTTGGTGACAGACCAGTAATCTGTTCACAAAATTTCATGTTTTGGGATTAGAATTCATTTTATTCTAGTCATCGTAGGCCTTGAGTACTTAGGTGTGTCTTGGAGCTAAGGTATGTGTGGGCTTGAATAAAGACAGGGTCTTTGACTTCAAGGTTTTAAAATATGAATACCTACTCCTACTGTTTCGGATTGTTTTAAAAGAGGGACACGCTTGCATTTTGGGATGGATTTATAACAGAAGTAGAAAGTTCAAGGAAAGGAGTTCTTGTTTCACTTCTTGTTCCTCAGCTTCAACAAGTATGTACTGAGTACTCACTATAACAAAGCGTAGTGGTGTTGCTTAGGAGACGGAGGCATGTCACTGACATCCACAACGAGTTTATAATCTTGTGGATCAATCTGACGCAAATTGATAAAGACCCAAGGTGCGGTACCACAGTAAACCTGTGAGATTTCACATGGGGGTGTGATTATTGAGGGCTGGAGAGATTTGGGAAGGCTTGGAGACCTAGTTCAGGAAGGAACTGTAGAATTTAGGAGAGAATGGCACGAGGAATTGGGAGTACGAGTGCCCATCTCTTGGCTAGGGACAATCTGGGAGGCTGAAGTAAGGGGCTCCTGCTGGAGAATAAATAGTGGGAAAAGCAGAGACCTACCTGTGGAGGCCTTATGTGCCAGGCTCAGGCATTTGGACTGCGGGGAGCTCTGGATGGTTTTTGATGGGTGGACATGGACGAAGATTTGTTTGGAAGAGAGAGTTATGGTTAATGGGCGCAGAGACAAGGACTGGTGGTAGAGGTGTGAGGACAGGGGCTATGTCTTAATCATCCTTGTATTCCCAGCTGCCTAGTTGCTTAAGTACATGCAAAAGGTCATCATTTTCCTTTTAAATTGCTAATGCTCTTGATAATCACTGGCCTTGTCAATGGCATAACAAATATTGTGAAAGAAACTCTTTGTGTCCAGTGTTACTTTGTTTGAAGGGCTAAAGGTAGGTAAATTTGGATTCGGACTCTTTCAAGCCTTATTTGTTTCTCTTTTAATTCCTCATTTTCTTCCTTTAAAAAAAAGGCACTCAGCCACTGTTAACAGAAATTACACAACAGGGCCATTCCCAGCCCCCGCCTCCCCCATCCCTAATAAGTTCTGTCGTCTTACAACCCTCACAAAAGACAGACCACACATATACACATAAACCCAGACAGCCCGAGAGCACACTCCCAAAAGACCCTGGTGGAGATACAAACGTCCAGATGAGCAGAGTTCACACAATGCAGACGGGTACACGTACACACAGACATACACACTCATGTGACTCAGCGCCTGAGCAGAAGAACCATTCGTGTAGGCACTCACACACCACACTTGCCCACACAGACACACAGCCGTTCGCTATGCTACTCTCAGATGGGCGTGCAACGTGCACCGCCACGAGGCTCCCGGAGCGCGGCGCCGCCCCCTTCCCGGCGCCAGGCTGGCTTGCTTGCAGCTGTCGCGTCACTCGCCAGTTGCGTCATCAGGGCGCGACGTTGCAGCAGGCGCCGCAGAGACTTGAAGTGCCGGCAGCTGCGGCATCGGCGGCCGCTGGAGCCGGCGGAGCAGCCGCGAGGGCGGGAACGGCTCCGGGAGGCTGCTCGGCCAGAGCTGGCACGGGTGCGCCGCCGCGCTCTCCGCTGGACCCCGCGCCACTCCTGCCAGGTGCCAGCGAGGTCCGTGTCTGCCTGACCCCAGTTCCCCGTGAGAGATGGGCCCCGCTCGTGCCGGGGTCCAGGTCGGGATTGTTCTCTCCCCGGGAGACCGGGCTGCGGCGTGGGTTCCCCTGCGAGGAGGGAAGTCCCTATGGACTCTGTACCCTCTGCACCTGAAGGGGAAGTGGGGGCATGGGCTTTGGCGTGGAGGCAGCAGGGGTGCTCTGAGAGCAGCTGGTGCTGCGGACAGTGCGATGACAGATGACCTTTCATTGGACTGAGCGCTCACTGTGTGTCAGACACTGTGCTAGGCGCTTTATAATAACGTATTCCTCCCAGCAACCTAGAAGGTAAGATCTGTCATACTATGCCCACTTTCCAAATGGGGAAACCAAGGCATGGAAGTTAACCAACTTGTCCCAAGTCGCACACACGGTAAGCAGTGGGGGATTTCAACTCCGGTGTGTTTGGCGTCAGAGCTGGCCCTCCCGCTTCTGTCCCTTTTGGAACCCACAGTTGGCTCCCCTCAGCCCATAATCTGGCGCCTCCAGAGTTCGTTTTTACTTCTTGACCTTGGATAGACTCTGCGGGGAGGGAGGAGCAGGCGTGGACCTCCTGTTGGCACAAGACTCTTTCTCCCCCTCCTTCCCCCCTCATCATTGGGGCCAGCCACGGAGTTCATTTTCTCAGGCTCCCTCTGTTGTAGCCGCATTCTGCACCTGAAACTGATAGCTGAGTTTTCTAACACCGAAGAGATTTCATGCCAGGTGCATTGCTTGACTATTCTCTCCCCTCGCCTATGATGTTAGATTGTTACAGAGTTAAATTGTTAAGGAGTATATAGTTATGCTGAGGTTAACAGTTGCCATAGCAAACCCACGTGGGGATTATGAAGAAATCAGAATATGCCCTCCAAAGAATACTGTTAACCTGGATGTGACCTTTTAAGGTTTTAAAGGACTAATTGAAGGCCAGCTGAGAAATAGCCAAAAGCTAAAATAATTTGGGAATTATATTAGACATTTTTTATATTTTAGGTTAACGTCTATCCATTTTCTTTAGCAGTTCACTGTTAGTGAACATTTTCCCTTAGGGTAGGAAAAGGCTTTAAAAGGCTGAAAACTCATAAATCAGATATTTCGAGACAGTGTGGTCTTGTTTTAGAGCTTTGTAGATGTGTTAAAAGTGCAAATATTTAAGGCATCACAAGAAAATTAAGAGCTTAATTCAGTTTAAGCGGGAAACTTTGAGGTGTCCTCTGTGCCTTTACCCATTTTACATTGCATAATATGTATAACCCAAAATTCCCAGCATGTAATTTTTAAAAATTGTCTACTTGTGTGCATACATGTAACATATTTAATTAAACACATACCTTCATCCTCCCAAGAACTATTCAATTATTAACACAAATGAAATTCTTTGTCATGTGCCTGAAATGAGCTATTATTTACTCTTACAAATTCACAGCTGTTTTGTTCAGAAAGTCTGAAAATACAAATGTTGATTTTTTTTTTTTTTTTAAATCAGGATGGCCTGAGTTCATATAAATACATCAGTCTGTTTTCACGCTTTGACTAAACATGGTGGAAGTCTGCTAGTAGTTCATTTGGCAGCCTGTTATGGGGCAAAATAATGCAGAAGTCAGAGTTCTGAGTTCTGGTATTTACTCTCTGGATTCCTCATTAACATGAGCGGTATATATTTTTTATAGCACATGATTTAGGAGTTACGCTTTGTGACATGGATGAATCTGCACTGACCCTTGGCACAATAGATGTTTCTTATCTGCCAAATTCATCAGAATACAGTGTTGGTCGATGTAAGCATGCAAGCGAGGAATGGGTAAGTTTAAGATACTACTGGTTAAAAGCATTCAACCTAAAGATGTTCATTTCAATGTTGTTTATGAAGGTGGAAACGCTGGAAGCAACATAATATCAAATAGAGGTTAATAGCTACAGAAACTGCCTCCAGCTGTTAGAAGGTATGTTTATGAAATCTAATATTTAAAAATTCTTACAGTATTATGTTAACTGGGAAGAAAAAATTGGGTAGGAAATTTGAGTACGGTGATTATGTTAAAAAGCAAAACACTTTTGCATGGGAAAAAAATACCTACTAACAGTTGTTTTGGTTGGTGTAGTTCTAAAGAGATTTATTTTTCTATCTATTTTCCATAATTATATTTAATAAGCATGAATTTGTAATAGAGAAACTTTATTTCCTATTTATAATTTTTTAAATAAATTTTCATATGAATCCCAATCCAAAGGGCATGCATTTTCTTGCATTGTTTTCCCTATTTCAGCATAACATGGCATGTTTTAAATATTTCTTGAACACTTTCTGCTTTAAATGAAAAATGATGTTGGAATTTTGGTGATTTTTTTGCTTTTTTTTGAGAATGTTATATCAGTGGGGTTTGAGCAACTGATGAACTCAAAGTTAAGAGAAAAATATTTGGAACAGAAGAGTGGAGTTTGACCCTGATTGGACAGTACGCTATAATTTAGATTCCAACCTTCAAACCCTCTTGTTAAGATAAAGGAATTTTGTATGTTTACCTTGACTTTCCTTTAAAGTGTTTTAAGCTGTATTATAACAACTTGCTTACTGTGTAAGGCCTTTGTAACTCCTGTGGGACTGTATGATTTAAGAAGGAGTAAGATTAACTGTTAGCATAGGGATCCAGGAGTCTGATTTTATTGCTCTCACAACTGTCAGAAGGCTGTTTGACCTTATAGTTTTTAAACCTTTGAATGCTGCTTTGACCATGCAGCAGTCACTGCTGGCTGTTACTATTCTTATTGCTAAACTTTTACTTATGTTCCAAGCTTTGTTCCAAGTGTTGATCATGGAAAGAGTACCTTGAACAGAATTTGCTGTGAGAAACACACACTACCAAAACAAAAATGGTCATAAGTTTCTCTTCTATCTGAAATGTATGAATTTTACAGAGCAAGTGGACAAGTATAATTCTCTTACCATTCACACACTATTTTTTCCTTAATATTTATTAGAGTGAATGTGGTTTCAGACCTACTCTCTTCAGATCTGCAACCTTAAAATGGAAAGAAAGCCTAATGGGCCGGAAAAGGCCATTTGTCGGAAGATGTTGTTATTCCTGTACTCCCCAGAGCTGGGTAAGAATGTCTCTGTTTGGTAAACTTTAATAAACAGAGTGAAATATGTGACATGGATTTCCAACTTTGCGTGAATTTTTTATTGTGTTGTCTTAGTAGACTTAATTCATTTCTAGAATTGAGACTCATGTTTATAAACCAAATATTCCAAGTAGAGATGTTGACTCAGTTTTTCTTTCCACTCATTTATTCAGTAAATATTGGTCCAATAGTTGATGCTAAGTGATGTTTTGGTTCTTTAGTAGTTTTAGTATGACTTTAGGGGGAGAGTAGATGTTAGTTTCAGTTAACTCTTCTGAAGAGTTGGTGGGAACCTTCACGTAACTTCTAGATGTTGAACTTCAGCACTGTGGCTTTGCTCTGCGCTTCCTTTTACTAAGTTTCTGTTTCAGGGGGTGCTGGGGGAGGGTGTCTGTTGACTCCGATAGTGAAGAGTGGTCACTAAAAGGTTTGGATGAAGGCCTAAGAAAGAGTGTATATGGGTTTGTTGTTTGTGTTTTGGTGAAAAAACACAAGCCACGCAAAATCTTCCACGTTACAGTGTAGTATTTGGGAAGAGTGGGTTGGATGAGAGGTGTGCTTCTGATGGCCGTCTGCCAGGGGGATAAGTTGGCACAGGAACGTGGAATCTAATGAGGCTGTGTTTTAAGGCAATAGGGTTACCTATTATAACGTACACTTGCATGTTAAGCTCTCTCTGGGCTGTGCCAGTTATTAGGACATAGAAATTCTGCCATTTAAGTGCCTGTCATTTATAGAGATTGCTTTTAACCTGTGTGCATAGTTAACTGCACTGCGTGAATTTTCTACTCAGAGTTGATTTGGCGAGAAGTAGAATTCTGAGTCTGGTATAAAGGAATTTACTAACTTCAGAGAGATTTGAGTAGGACACAAGCAGTTTATGTTAAATACTCAGGGCTGCTCAAGAATGTCTTGAGGTAAATATTGTTCCTTTTGAATCACAAGCACCTTGTTGGAAGAATTTGGTAGAATTGAAGGATCATCGGAATTTCTAGTCTAGGAGTAAGGCCAGTTCAGATTAACAGGCCAGTAGAAATAAAGATTTAAATAGAAGATCATGTGGCTTTTCCTTTTGGAGCTGACATCTCATCTAATTCTAATTTTGAATGTTTAGAAGAGCAAAACATTACCTTAACTCTAATGTGTTCTTAAGTCAGGAGAGAGTATAGGAAATTATTTGGTGGTGATGGTTTGGAGTGGGGATAGGTGAGTAATATAACAGATAAATGTTTTTTGCTTAAGTACCTGATAGAGCTGGATTTGATCTTAAAATTCTTCCATGGCATGATTATTTAAAATAATTTTTGACGATATTTTTATAGTAAGTTTTTGATATTTGCCACTCTTACTCTGAAATCCTCTTTTCCTTTTCTCTAAAGAGATTTCTGTTAAATATTTTATATCTTTTGTTGAAGGTATGTTATGCCATCTCCAAATTTATTTGTGGAAAGTTTACCTTTTTGCCCACATTGATAAAGCTGTAGACTTTCCCTTTTTAGCAGAGCTATTTCTGGATTGTCTTTTAAGGTTTCCTGTAAAGAGGGTGACCTTTAGCCATACTTTTTCTCATTAAGTGGGACAGTCGTTTTAGAATAGAAAGACCATACTCTTTGGAGCAAAATGTAGGGTTGAGTGTGAAACCTCTGTCAGCCTCAATTTTCCTTTCTGTGAAATGGGGATAGTAAGTCTTATGTGACAGGATTACTGGGGGATTTAGTAATCTAACAGTAACTACGCGGTACTTAGCATGATTTTTTTTTGTATTTTTGGAACACTGAAGTCTCCAGTATTCTTGTCAATGACTTAAGCTTTCTGTATCTTCAACTTGTTTGGGTTGGAGGTGGGGAGTAAGGCAGAAGAGAGAGGCATTGCAAGGTGTTAAGGACTAATTTTGAGTTTGTGACCATCTTTGAAGGCTAAAAAGTATTTTTCAATAAAACGTAATTTGTCTTCATCACTTAGATTTTTGAAGCAATGCATAACTTTATGCTTGAAGTATAAAAGTCATCAAGAACTAGTAATGTGAGCTCTTCACCAGCAATCCAGTGTATATCTATGTCTACGTTTATTTTGTTTTATGTAGGATAAATTTTTCAACTCCAGTATCCCGTCTTTGGGTTTGCGGAATGTTATTTATATCAATGAAACTCACACAAGGTAAAAAGAAATTTCTTATATTTCTAATATACCTCGAAAGAAAAACTCCATAATAATCAATTAACATACTTTAAAATGAATCTCTTTATGTTTTTGAGTTAATAGAATATGAACTTCTGACACAAGAGGCTTTCTCTAAAAATTGGAAGCAGTGTAGCCACCTGAGAGACCTGCTACTATTTCTGCCAGGATAATTATATAATAGATATTTTCATGAGAGTGTAGGTATCACTTAGAGCTTTCTCTAACTTATTCATATATTGACTTTGCATCTGAAGTGTGCCAAAGTGTGATAAAGATCTGTCTGAGAAGAGGTATAGATTTGAATGTCTTCTGATCTATTATGGTTATTTTATATTTTAAAAAAAGTATAGCCTGTTGAAATCTACCTAATCTATAGAGTTTTAGAAAATATTTTCCTCTATTGAGCAAATGTTCTTTGATTTATTATTAGCGTAAGAGTTTTCTTAGAATTCTTACTTCCAAATTCCAGGCATATGGGATGGGCTATTAGGCCCCAGAGTGAGAGAAAAGAGGCTTTGTTTTATGTGAATCTAGGCTAGGGAATGAGAAGGAGGCTGGGAAGGTCGTGTGAATGTCTGTGAGGCGAGAGAGTAACGGCAGCCGAAAATGCGAACAGTCCTTGTGATTCTAAGAGTAAATGCCTGGAATAGGAAAGCGGTAGGCTCAGGTGATGATAAATATGTGAAATTCTAGGAAAAATTGACCCGAGAAGTCAAATACTTACTTTTGAAGCCTTGTTGATGTTACTGCTTATATTTTGATGATGAGATCATAAACAAGCATGATAATACTTGTGTATATATTAAAGTTTTTTTTTAATAGAACTAAAGTCAAAGAACATATTTTTTTCCCATTTCCATGCTTCCCTTCTCTCTCTCTCAAAGGAAGGAAGAGAAATTCTGGTCCACTGATTTTTTTTTTTTACCCCCCTTGGTTGACATGATTAAGATCCTAAGAAAAGGGGTCTCATAGACTCTCTTTTTCTTTATGTGAGTAGACATTTTTTTGTATAAAGTCAAAAGGTTCATTTGTTGCTTTCAATTGGAGGCAGTTAGGAAAAAAAAGCATATGCTCTATTGACTAGGCGATATGAAACTAGTCAATGTAATACACTGTGCAGTTGAGTTGGCTGTTTAGATCTTCCATGTGTTACAGGAAGCAAAGCCTAAACATTTTTGCACCTGCATGCCCACACACATACAGCTTTCAGTCAATTGCAAAAGGATTTCTTGGAAAACTTGGGCTTTGTGCATTCTAATAATAATTCTGAAAATGTTCACTCAAGGAAGAATTTAGAATTAAACGTATTGGGCCAAGTTTGCAGAGAATTGAGACAGACAAAGGAAATGAGGTAGATGTCAGGAAGGAGAGATGAAGGAACAAGTGATTCATAAATAGTTCTCCCTCACATTACTTTTCCTCAATTGAGGGCTTTTTGGAATTAGTGAATTTATATTTGAAATCTTCTGTCCATATGAATGTTATGGAGGAAACAATAATGAGGCGTTATGTAATCATTACAAATCAGTGCATGTTGAAGTTTTGTAGCCTTCTTCTTCTGAGGTCCTGTCCCCAACCCCCCCATCCAAACAACACATAGACACTGACACTGATGGGAATATGTCCTATCCCTTAGAGATGTTGAATGTGTACAAAAAAAAAAAAATTTCTGGTTTCGTGAGCCCATGGTACACATATTCAAGTGATACTCTAGTTATTGTTACTTCTGTCAACTGATCAGCCTTGTCAATTTGAGAGTCAGTGATTACCTTAGAAGAATTACTATAATAAAGAAAATTAGCCCTTCATGGTAGGAAAAGACTTCCAAATTATCTTTTTGTAGCCCATAGCTATAGTTAAAAGCTATATAGCTTGTATATATAGCATTCAACATATTTACTTTTTTGTGGTATTAATAACGTTAAGTTGGTTTTATTTCTTTTGTTTTTATATTTAGGTTATTATTTGGCAAAGTAACATTATTCAAGAATTAGTATGCATATTCCAAGTTTAAATTTTAGGTGAGAGTAGATGAAAGAAATTAAGAGTGAAATTGTCTGCATAGCATCCTGAACTACTAAGGAGAATTTGCTATAAGAGAACTCCAAATCTCAGGAGTAGATGAAATGAAGCTTCACTTCATTTTTACAGGAGGGAAACCACTGTATAATTTAAGCAACCTGTTTTAGCTGTTCCCAGAGTACTTCTCTGCTAAGTCATTTTCACGTTGCAGGCACCGAGGATGGCTGGCAAGACGTCTTTCTTACGTGCTGTTTGTTCAAGAGCGAGATGTCCATAGAGGCATGTTTGCCACCAATGTGACTGAAAATGTACTAAACAGCAGTAGGTAAGGGGAGGGGGTTCTGCTGTAAAGGGGAGAGGCAAGGGTGGCTGCTAGGAGTGGGAGTGGGAAGAAATTTCCTTTATTAACCTTTAGTTTCTCTGGGAATCTGTCTCGAGGTATTTGCATTTCTAAACGTTAAATGTTAGCTTCCAAAGGAAACCAGGGAAAAGCAGGAAAACAGATGATTTTGGTGAGCATTGCCAAGTGGGAATAGCAGTCTTGTTTCATGCATTAACAATTGAATGGGTTTCTAATACATGAAAGGCAAGTTGGAGTTCAGAGATGCACATATTTCCAGAGTTCTCTGTGAAGTTTTCTGTAGTATGGATGTTTGGGACATCACATTTCCTATTTTATAGCCAAAAGAGAAGCAAGTTTGATATTTCTGTCAAACAATTAATGAGTATCTAGGCACAAATTCTTGTACTAGAAAGTCATCAGTAGAAATTTTGAGTGAATAAGATACTGTCCTTGCTCTTAGAAGAGCTTGCTCACGAATGGGAGAGACTGGTTGGAACTCAGGTGGAGTGGGGAAATATGAAGTGGATCATTCTGAAGTTTAGGCATTGGAATTTGGGAATTTGGGTGAATGTTGGTCTCTGTTCCACCTCATTGGTGTGGCCCATGTTAGACATCCATCTGGATTTGGGGGGCCAGAGACCAGGTGGACTGAAAGATGCTTAGAAATGCAGTCCCTCTGGGATGATTGTTAAGACCTGAACAGGGTGTCACATAGTAGGTACTCAAGAAATATTTGTTGAATGAACCAGTGAATGGTTGATAAAGAAGATGTAATAACCATGTTAATTACTTGTGAAAACCTTCCTGGCCAGATTGAAATAAATGCTATTCAGAGTCCATCAGTGTCCTGTGGAATTGACCTTTTGTTATTAATGAATTATGGGCTACGCGTAGTTGTGCTGTACACTAGTCTAAAATCAGTGGCAGCAATGAGAGAAAGCACAATTGTTTGAAACTCCCTTAGATTATTACATTTTCTATTTTCTAGGTAAAAACCTTCAAGTATGTTTCATTCCATCCAGATATTTTGACTTGTAACTAGGATGTTAAAAGTGATTTGAGGCAGTTTAAGCTTGTGTATTCTTCCTATGTCACATGGAAAATTTACAAAACTGGATCAAATCTTCCCTTTTACCTCACTGCTTATTGCTCTGTGCCACTCTAATATTGAGCTATGCCTTTCGTAAGTTACTGGTTTGATTTGGAAAACACTTGTAAATATTTATCTTTGATCTTTCCTGGAGACTTCTACAGAGTTCCACTAAGAGAGAGACAATATAAATGAATAATAAATTAGATCTTCAAAAGAAAAATCACACATTACTTTGGCAGTGGCTTTTTGGATACCTCTGACTTTTATGCCCTTTTCTTCCTTCTGCTAGAGTGCAACTTTGTATCCCTCACGGCATAACTGGAACATTCAAATTCACGTTGTTACCCAGTGAATTTGAATTAAATTCTTAACTCTACCTTCCAGATTCCTCAGGGATTTGTTGATTTAGGAATATAATATTCTTAATATTTAATAGACAGCCAAAGAAAGCACTTCTAACTTGAACTTATTCTCTCATGTTATCACATATTGAAGAGAAGGTACATTTTGTTTGGTCATTTATAGCTAGGTTTAGAAAATACTGAATACAGATTGTAGCATAGAACCTGTTACATTGTCTGTCTTTCCATTTTCAAATCAGAGTACAAGAGGCAATTGCAGAAGTGGCTGCTGAATTAAACCCTGATGGTTCTGCACAGCAGCAATCAAAAGCCATCAGTAAAGTGAAGAAGAAAGCCAAAAAGATCCTTCAAGAAATGGTTGCCACTGTCTCCCCGACAATGATCAGGTATTAAAAGGCAAGGCAAAAGGTTTCAGGGAGAGCCATCCTGTTCTGAGCACACAGGACTGAACCATTGTACTTTCCTCAGCAAATGCTCTTGGTCCAAAAGATGCTTTATGTATTTGGATGTTAAACCCAACTCCTCTTTATATTCTTACTCCGCTTCCATGGGCAGTGGCAATGTGGTGGGCTTTAAGCTGCCCTCATCTCTGCTAACTGATGGCAGCCATTGTTTCCCTGCTGACGTCTACTCTCTAGACTAGTCACGAGCAGGGTGCACAGACTCATGTCTTAAAGGGAGTGGTTTGTGTGCAACAGAGGGATCCCTCTGCTCACCTAAATCTTTGTTTGGTGATTTACTTCTGAAATATAAAGTGTGCAATTAGAGTGAAACGTAAGACTTTAGTACGTAATAAGCAAATACTTCCATAAATAGTATATATGTAAAGTCAGCTCTTTAATTCCACAATTCAGATAAACCCATACAAACACATGCACATATGTGAAGCCATTTACAGTTGCTCTTAGCTGGTAGGTTCTGAAATTTAAATAGACAAAAGTCAACTATATTTATATAAATATATGTATACACATTAGAATTTTTTTACTTTCAGACTGACTGGATGGGTGCTGCTAAAACTGTTCAACAGCTTCTTCTGGAATATTCAAATTCACAAGGGTCAACTTGAGATGGTTAAAGCTGCAGCTGAGGCAAGAATTATGTGAATCTGTCGTTTTGTTTTCTCCATGTTTGTAGAGTGATTTTGGAAATGTTCTCTTGTATACTGTTGTGCTTTCCAACCCATTTGGAAGATTTCCCCCATGTGAGGTAGCTACAGGAGCTGTGTATTTGGGGAGGAGCAGTGGGGTAAGGGAGGACCTCCCAGCAATCTGGAGGACCCCCTTTTGTAAGTTACCTTGCAACTACTCTGAAAATCAGGTAGAACAATCTCTATTTTATAAATGAGGAAATAAAGGCACAGAGAGATTAAGAAATTGTCCCAAGTCATGGCTAATAAGTGACTTGCCCAGGATTTCAAACCAAACCAAGCTTGACTCCAAAACCTATGCTCTTACGTGATCAGGCTGCCTCTCAGAAGATATATAGAGTCAGCTTGAACTCGTGATTGCCTCTTCTCTTTCTCTGATTCTTTGTTGTTGTTTTTAGCTGTTAAATTGAAAGAAGTTCATATTACTGGAAAATGTTTTAAAAGAATGAGTCACTGATTAGCCTGTGTTTGAGTGACTAACCAAATGTGAAGTTGGGAAGTGTGACTGAGCTTTACATTTGAATTTTAAATTTGGCGTTTTTCCCTTTACTAGATGAATTTGCCACTTATATTTCTACCAGTTCATAGATCACATATTGACTATCTACTGCTCACTTTCATTCTCTTCTGCTATAACATCAAAGCACCATACATTGCTTCAGGCAATAATCTCAACCTCCCTATCTTCAGGTAAGATCAACTTTTGAAATTTAAGTTAAGAAAAAGATTATATTTTGACTTTTGTGTTTTTCATTGTGCCTTTTGATACATATTATACATGTTATTGTAAAGATGACGTTAGCTTTTTTACTTTTATTATAGAAGTAATGCATGCTTATTGTGGAAAATATGGAAAGTACAAAAAAACATTAAAAGACTATTACCATTGAACTGTGAACTGCGAATAACCTTTATGGGCAGTATTTATCAAGTAGATAGGCAATTAGAAAAACAAGATAGTAAATTGCTGTATCAGTCTTGGCAGTGGGGAGCTGGGGTGGTGGTGATGCTGTAAAGAAAGAAAGAATTGTACCTTTTACTTTGGCCTCATAGTTTAGTAGAGTTAGGAACATGTAATAATTATAATATAATGTCAAAGGTGTATCTCGTTGCTTTTTAGCAGAACGCAGTGCATGCCATTCAGAGGAAATAGAACGTGAAAAGGCAGAGAGGTTCAGCAGCACGGTCTGGTTGGGAACTGCAGATGGGTCAGCAGGATTAGGACGTAGGGTGCATTGGGAAGGGGCAGAGGCTGCAGGTGGGGACTGCACAGGTGGTGAGGGCTAGATCAAACAATTTCTAAGCCAAGAGTTTAGAGTGTATCTTGTACTTGAGAAATGGCATGTTCAGATTTGCCTTTTGAATAGTCATTCTGGTTGAGGGAGTTGGAACAATTCTGCCTCTGTTGTGATAGTTCAGGCAGAAGATAATGAAAGCTTAAATTAAAAGTGTAGTAGTGTTCTTGGAGAGGAGGGCATCGATTTGAAAAATATTTAGTAAGTTGAATTTACAAGACCAGTTCCTAGTCCAGATGTGGGGCTCAACAGAGTAGGGGAGAGGAGGGAGGAAGACTTCCAGGTGTTTACCACCCGGGAACTGGGTGGATAGTGGGGCTGATCACCAGTTGGGGAATTGATGAGGAGTAGGTTTAGTTGGTTTGGGGAAATTGAAGTTTTAAACTTGAAAACACAAAGCATCTCTGAGGTCAGCTCTGTGAGCAGCAGAGAGTAAGAGGAGGGTGAATTTGGAGAATGACTGGGAAGGAAGTGGGTGGGCAGGTTGTGCAGGTAGGGCCTCACAGGGTGGCAGTCAGCCTCACAGTCCAAGGAGCACCTCCCTAATTCCTTGGCGCAGAGTTCTGTGGCTAACCTGACTCATGTGAACAGCTGAAGAGAAGCCATTCATTCATGCAGTCACTTGATACTTACCCAGCTGTGCTTTAGACAAGAGTGAACAAGAAACATAGTCCTTGCCTTCAAATAGCTCATAATCTATTGGGGGAAAGTAGACAAACAGCTAGCTATGATACAGTGTGATATGACCCTACAGGGCAGACGTGCTTTTCCAGGGACTAGAATATCTTCTGTTTACTCTCCTGCGCACCTCTTCCCAGTATTGTGGAACCTGGGAAGCTGAATTAGAAAGTCATCAGAGTGGGCTCTGCTTTGGCAGCCTGGGTTCAGTTCCAGGTGTGGAATCACACAACTTGTCTGTCAGTAGCCATGCTGTGGTGGCAGCTTACATAGAAGAACCAGAAGAACTTAAAACTATATATAACTATGTACTGGGGCTTTGTGGGGGTGAGGGAGAAGGAGGAAAAAAAGGAGGGAGATTGGCAAGATGTTAGGGTAAATCTTCCTCTGCAAAAAAAAAAAGTCATCAGAAAGTTGCTGGTAGGCGTAGACTTAGAGCAAAGAGGACTGTTCCATCTGGGCTCTCAAGAAGTCTTGCCCCATAATAGTTTGCCTCTCGTAATCTGAATGACTCATGTACTCATTCCCTCCAGGTTCTCAACTTGGATCTCTTGAAAGTGTTTAATAAACACTGATAATTTCTCATAATCCACCTTTCCTTTTCATGAACTCTATGCCAGTCATTGCTCACTTGTCCTTCTTTCAGACGTGACAGACTGTCGATAAGCTGGACTATTTATTTGCAGTTTTCTTTTCTACACCTTCACAAATCACTTTTCAGGATGGGTTACTTTTGTGGGCGGTTCATCTCATTCATTATGAGCTTATGCTGCAGAGTTTTACTCTCAAAGATTGATATTAAGCTCTGGGGACATCTTGCTGTTGCCTCCTTATACTGACTATAGAAGATAGTGAAAATATGTTAATATTTATATCAATATCACTATTTGAAAAGAATAGGAGGAGGTTCTGAGTTTGGAAAGGTTGACTTAAGTATTAGAAAATTTAAACTTCATGTCAGAATCCATGAGTATTATAGAAAGAGACATGGAGGTGTGAAAAGATTTGTTTTATTCCTATGTATGTATAAATGAAGCAGATGTTTGTTGCATGGTTTGGAAAGATGGTTATGCTTGGTTTCAGTTTGATAGACTTATCCTTGCCTCACAGAGACACTATAGCAATACTTATTTCAGAAAATTTCTCCAAAGGAGCTTTTGTAGCATTACATTCATTTTGTAGTAAATGTGCTGTAGGCAGATTTTGGGATGTCTAATGGTCAGTGTCTTGAGACTCTGGACAGGGTTTTAAAACTTAGCAGTATTTCATAATCCTCTTACCATCTATATCTTCGCCTTTGTGGGGTAATATACCTACTTCTTTTGGGTTGGAACAGATGTAATAGAGCTTTAGCATGCGAAGTGATATTCTAAAGGGTGATGAATAATGTAAATGATTGAAACGTCAATAAAGTGGAAAATAGAAGGATGTCCATATTTTCACTGTCAGCAGCTCGAACAACTTGTGACTTATATCCATATGGCAAATGTTTTGAAGTAACTTGGAATGTGAGTATTTGTTTTACATTTTTCTTTGTAAATAATTAATGCATTCTTGAATTTATAGTACTTTAATCCATAAGCTTGGGGGCTTTTTCATACGACGGAGGCTAGATGAAACACCAGATGGACGGAAAGATACTCTCTATAGAGCTTTGCTCCATGGGGTACGTCTGATCTCTAACTATCCCTAAAGCTGTTATGGTAGTTATCACAGTAGAAGGAAAAAGAGACTTGATAGAGATTTTATAAAAAACTGTTGTCTGAGTAATTATTTGAGTGATTATTGCTTGGGTATGGGTTTGATGATGAGCTTTTGTTATCGTCAAAATATAGTATTGGAGGAGCTGTCTTACTATTATTTGTGTGAGTAAAATATTTTGTCAGTAGTGAAGTTATAGGGTTTTTTTTTTAAGACTTGACTTTGCTAAGCTTATTCTAAGTTGAGTAGTCTTGAATTCGTGTTTTTCTTTCTCCTTATATCCCAGCATATAGTTGAACTACTTCGACAGCAGCAGTTCTTGGAGATTTTTCTGGAAGGCACACGCTCTAGGAGTGGAAAAACCTCCTGTGCTCGGGCAGGACTTTTGTCCGTTGTGGTAGATACTATGTCTACCAAAACCATCCCAGACATCTTGATAATACCTGTTGGAATCTCCTATGATCGTATTATTGAAGGTCACTACAATGGCGAACAGTTGGTAAGAGGACTGCCTGCCTAAAGGTCTGCTTTGCTTTCAAGTCTTTTGCTTTTAGACAATTGCTTTTAGAATTAATTAGGAATTTTTTTTGGTACTCTCTAGTTTTCAAGCATTGTAAAAACATGGTAGAGTGGGCGTGGCCAGTAGCTCTCATCTCCTATGTCAACCTGATGGTAGTGCTAATGTGGTTCCTTCCTGCCCTGGGAGGAGGTGACGTGATGAGATTTATCAGTGCCTGCTTTGGTCATGGGACTTGGAAATGGAAGAATGCTTGGTATTGAGTTGCCGTCTCGACCATGGGGGTTACATGTGGTTTGTTCTCCCCAGAGCTTACTGTTTATGTGCAGATTTTAAGCTAAGGCTGAAGAATTGGTGGAATCATGTTGACAAAACAATTATAAATTAATTTGAGGAGTGGCAATAATTTTTTTAGTAAACTTTTTATTGAAGTAAGTATAATAGTTACAGAAGAATGCACAAATCGTAAACGTGTGGCTTGAATTATCATAAAGTGAACACATCCCTGCAGCCAGCATCCAGATCAAGGAACAATGTTATCAGGACCCTAGAAACTCCCTTTGTGCCCCTCTCTTACTGTCCCCTCAAGGGAACCACTTATCTTGACTTCTTGTAGGATAGATTAGTTTTGCCTGTTTTTGAACTCAGTGTAAATGGAATGACATAGTGTGTAGTCTTTTGACATCTGGTTTCCTTTGCTCAAGCAGGTGTTTGGGAGATTCATCTGTTGTTTCCTATAGTTAGAGTTTGTTCATTCTCATAGCTGCGTAGTATTCCAATGTATGAATATACCACAATCCATCCATTCTGTTGAAAAACAGTTTGGTTTCTAGCTTTTGACTATGGCCATTCTTGTGCACTTCTCTTGATGACCATATGTATGCATTTTGTCCTTGGGTATGTACCTAGGCGTGGAATTGTTGGTTATAAAGTATCCATGTGTTCAGCGTTAGTAGATACTGCCAAACAGTTTTCCAAAATGCTTTTACCAACTTAGCATTCCTACCAACATTGTGAGAGTTCCAGAGGAAGTTAGTTTGGTTCTTACTCAGTGTGGAAGTCTTGGGCAAGGTATGTGTTTCAAGCTTACTGCCCAAAACATGTCAGAAGTCAAGGACACTTGCTAATTGGAGGCTTTAAAAATTGTGATGGACCTGGATTATTACTCGTGTCTCTCTTATGAGACTCCTCCTTGTGTTGTATGTGTCTGTCCTGAATGTCGACTCCACTCACCCTCACTGTGTCTCATGAGGTCACATGTGAGTCCTGTGTGTGATATATGGCCATCCTTGTGCACATTAAGTATTCAGTAAATGCTTACTAAAGTAATCGTCAGCTTAAAGACTGCTGTGGGGCTGGATTTGGCATTCAGTTGTCTAACCTTAGGTATTTGGACGCTGGAGACCATCAGACCTCAGATATTTTTATCTGAGGACCACAGAACAGTTTTTCAGGCTGTTGTGTCATTTTTATCCTTCATGAGTTTTTAGTTGTATTTTTGTGAGTGAAATAAACAGAGCATCAAATGAATTAGTGTTAAATGTTTTGTTTTTTGTTGACCAAATTGTCTCTCCCAATGACATGATTACTTAGTGTCTTTAAATGCTAACCGTTTCTGACAACTCTCAGTCAATGAATACTTATTTTCCTTATTCATTCATTGATGTGTTAGCTTTATTTCTTACCATGTGATTATTTCAAAATTGGAATTTAGGGAAAACCTAAGAAGAATGAGAGCCTTTGGAGCGTAGCTAGAGGCGTTATCAGAATGTTACGAAAAAACTATGGGTGTGTCAGAGTGGATTTTGCACAGCCGTTTTCCTTAAAGGTGAGTGTCCGTTGGGATGAGGCTGTGTTAAAGCACTGGTGTAGCTCAGTGTCAGAAGATTCGGGCTCCAGGACTGCCTCCATCGCCTCTTCTCCATGTGACTAGGGCCTCAGGCTCTTCTCTTGTAAAGTGAAGACTATGTCAAGAATGGCATTTCCTAAATTTTTCCACCAAGGCATGCCTGTTGACAAAGGACAGTAAATGTCTGTCTTTCGGAGATACCGGGTTCATCATTTATTGCTATTGTTTTTACTTCATGAAAATTTTGCATGTTACTTTATAGTATATACTGATATTTTATATTATGTTTTGAAATTGCCTTTAGGGGAAATTTTTCAAGACACGACCCCTAAAAGCTGGGTAAAATTGACAGTCCAGGATGATGCTCCGTCCTACTAAGTGGAATCTAGTACCCACATATGCCAAAGGATAGTGGCATCATCCAGGAGAATCCTGGGACTGGTGGGTCCCCGAGGTCTTGGCAGTTTTAAATTCCTAAGATTCTCAGATTGGAAAAGGAGAAAGAGTAGATGTGTAAGGGAGTCGGGACTCCGAGGATAAGGAGCAGAGGTCCTGCTTCTCTTTCTGTCTTGCTTCTTGGTTTTACTTTAAGAGTCTGACTGCCATGCTAATGTTTTCTGGCCTTAAATCCTTTCTGCTTTTGGGGACCTCATCATTTCTTACCACTTTTTTTTTGAGGAAGATTAGCCCTGAGCTAACATCTGCTGCCAATCCTCCTCTTTTTGCTGAGGAAGACTGGCCCTGAGCTAACATCCGTGCCCATCTTCCTCTACTTTATATGTGGGACGCCTGCCACAGCATGGCTTGCCAAGCAGTGCCATGTCTGCACCCAGGATCCGAACCGGTGAACCCCGGGCCACCGAAGTGGAACATGCAAACTTAACTGCTGCGCCACTGGGCTGGCCCCAACCACTTTTTTTTTTTTTTTTTTTAACTATATTGCATTTCTCTATCTTGTTATGACTTGCTTTTGGATTGAGGTTCTTTTGAATATCATGTGACCCTCAGATTGTCGCATTTCCTTTAAAAAATGTGGTTGTGTCAATTATCACTATTAATAATGTTGGGAATGTCAAATAATTTCATGAAGATGTCAAATAATTTCATGAAGATGTGAGAAAAGTTAAATTTTCTCCGTTAATTTTTAAATGATTTTGCTTAAGCATCATCCTGTTCTTTGTATCTTCAGTTCTTAGATTTCATGTTTAATAGTATTCTATGAGTCGTTCTGGACTTCTGAAGATAGTTTAGGATGTGGAAAGGACTTCTCATGCTCTGTAGCATGGCTCATTTTATAAACAACTCCCTTTTTACTTTTCAAAGGTCAAATTATATTTTATATGTGTTTGTGAAAGTGAGACAATGACAGTCAGTGATTGTATTGTATTTTTTTTTCCAGGAATATTTAGAAAGCCAAAGTCAGAAACCTGTGTCTGCTCCACTTTCCCTGGAGCAAGCATTGTTACCAGCTATGCTTCCTTCAAGGCAAGATTTAAGGAGATTGTTTATACTAACTACACTCTCAAATATCTATTATTTCTCATATTGCATAGAAAATAGGTTAACTTCATTAAGAACATGCATGTTCTTGTTTTTACTTCCTCACTTGAGTAACTTTTCCATTGGTTTGATAAAGGATCTTGAAATGATGTGTTTTCATATTAGTTTGCAGGTTTTTGATTATTTGCATTATAAAATCTTTTTGATTTTGTGAATCATGTAGGAGTTCTTATTTACACTTTGAATGTTTGAAATGAATTATTTTTGATAGAAGCTTAGGTTATGCATCTTGTACCTAAGTGCAACGTATAAAAGAGGTTTCCTATGTGAATTTTCCAGAATTCAAATTGAATTGTAACTTAGAGAAACTGAACGTTAAGCTTTTCCTTCAGTATGTTCAAGGGTCAACTTTTCAAAAATGTTTTTGGGTTCTTTCTGCCAGTGAATTTTAGAAGTGATGTACCAACAGACTATTTAGTCATAACTAAGTCACGTGTTTTGGTCAGGAGAGTGTAACGTAATAAAGGATATTGTGGAGGAAAACAGCCCAGAGAAATAATCTGTTTGTGGTTTAAATTTAGAATATGTAGTAATTTAAAGTATCTAATACATTTGTATCTTAGGCTCATATAGTTTGCTTTGTGAAAGCGTGGGGTTGTAGGAGTCTAATTTGTAAAAATACTTTTCAGACCCAGTGATGCTGCTGATGAAGGTACAGACATGTCCATTAATGAGTCCAGAAATGCAACAGATGAACCCTTCCGAAGAAGATTGATTGCAAATCTGGCTGAGCACATTCTCTTCAGTAAGTAGAATACCAAACTCTTTATTTCTGCAATTCAGATTCAGCACGGTGCAGTGCAAACCATGTAGGTTCTGGAATCTGCTGAAGGGAGGTTCCGCTTGTGGTTCTATTACCTGATGAACAGGTGGTGATAGGTAAGTTGTGAGAAAGAAACTGACGCTGTGGGGATTTGCGGGAACTGAGTAAACCTCTCACATAGCGCCTGAGGTAGCTGCTCATGTGGTAGTTCTTACGCTTTTTAAAAATAGCATTGCCAAATGGTTTGTCGCCTATTTTGCTCATGAATTTGTTTCTTTGAACTAACTTGTGGTACAGCAGCATCTAGGTTTATGCATGTCCCTTCCCACTCTCACCCCATGATCAATTTTATTCAGCAAATATTGAGCATCTGTTAAGGTAGAGCTTTGTTTTAGCCGTGGGGACCACAACTTGAATAATTCACGGTTCTACTCTTAAAAAGCTCATGCTCTTCTCAGAGAGAGTACAAATAATTCAAGTGGGAGTGACCCAGAGCCGAGTGAGTGGAGTGCAGGAGTAGCCTTCCGTAAGTTCCAGGTTGTGGTGGTGTGTCACGTCCAAGAGCCTACTTTAGAGTCCCTATGGCAGTGGCAGCGACGTAGTCCCTTAGTGAGCCCCGTGGGGTGGAATCACCTCGCCATTCCCTGTGCCTCATCCCCATCAGGTCAGACACTCGGCTCTTCCTGCTGACGTTCTTGTGGAGGATTCCTCACCTCGTCTTGCTCCTTCTGCTCTGGCTGCTCCTGCCCCTGCTTTGTGCTGGGCCAGAGTCTTCTTTCTTAAGTGCATCTGATTATGTCTCTTCCTTGCTTAAATTCTGGATGCTGAAAATAGTACAGCCTTAATGTTGAAAACTTGGAAAATAAAGATAAAACCTACACCCAAATAACCAAGAGTGTTGCTGTCTAGTCTTTAAAATATTTTTTACAGTTTTGTACTGTGCTTTTTTCAATTTATAACACAAATATTTATTCATGTTTTAAAAAAACTCTTTATTCTTTTTCATGGCTTTAAATATGGTACTGGGTACTTTTTTGTTTTTTAAACACTGGAGACAACAACTGTGAGTAAAGTATTCATGAATTCATTATCATCTCAGAAAACTCACAAATGATGTCTTTGCTTCAGATTATTTCATAGATGTTCTCATATTTGATTTATATCAATTTTCTACAAATTCAGAGTATTGGGTTGTGAACTATAATCATTCTCAAATGTATTTCTGTCACCTTTCTCCCTACTTCTGAGCTACCTTTGGGTAAAAAAAAAAAGGAAATTAAAATATATCGAACAAGCATTTCAATGGCTTCTGTGCCAGGCCAGTCATTTCATTCTTACCTTGCCCAGTGAATAAGGTAGTATTCTCATTTTACCAATGAGGAAGCTGAAGCTTGGGAATTGAAGTAATTTCCCCCAAGTTATGAAATTGGTCAGTGTAAAAGTCAGGATTTAAGCCCAAATTTTCTGACTTAAAGTCCACTTCTCCCTCCCACTACACCTTTGTTTTAATGTGGAGTGAAGTAGAGAGGGAGTTATGGCAGATTGCCCCCAGGAACAAGTCAGGAAATACAAAAATGGGGTATGCTGTGGAGCTCCTAGAACAGGCTCATACCTTGGGTCTTGGTATTTCTGTAAAGGTGACTCTTGGTCATCCAGTAACTAACTTCCATTGGCCTGGTTTGAAGGTGGACCTATCTTAGACTGAATTCTGTTACAGGATGAGTAGTGACCTCTAATGAGGTTCCATGGGCCTAGAACACGGTATAATGTTGTAACTGCCCTTTGGTAAATCATAGTTATGGGAAATATGGTAGAGGACTTTTATTGTCTTAAATAGATTAAGATTTAGGTACTTTTTAAAAGTTTCAGCTATATTAAAAAAAAAAAATGCAACTAAAGCTTTGTGTTTGCCTTCCAGCTGCTAGCAAATCCTGTGCTATTATGTCCACGCACATCGTGGCCTGCCTGCTCCTCTACAGACACAGGCAGGTATGTCTGCAGGGTCACCTGGAGTTTTGTAGGAAGCATGAGAATGCTTCGTTAGCTGTTCACCTACTTATTCACTGACGGATTGGCCCACTCCTGGCCAGTGCCGTGAGATAAACAGTAAAATAAGCTAAGGACCCTGCCCACAGGAACTTACAAACCTGATGGGGGAAGAAATCTACTTGAAAAAAACTCAGAGACTGCTTAATGTAAAAATAGTAAGACATTCTTTGAGTAATATAGTTAACGTAAATAAGGCCTATTTCATTGACATGCAGTAAGTATTCTGATCACTAACAGTTAAGCTGTTTGGTTTGTGTTTAGGACCACACTCCACCTTCCCACAATGCAGTTGTCTAAGTGCTATGATGGGAGAGACTGTCTGTCTCTCTTAGAGTCATGTTCTCAACACCAAACATAGTGCCAATATGTATAGTCACCTAATAAATATTTGCCACATAAATAGTTAAAATGAGGGAAATTCTTACTAAAAAATGAGCACTTCTTACACTCAGCAGCTTCCTCCCTTTGTGATCTTTTGTGCTCATAACATGTGCTGTGGCTAGAGTGTTCCCTGCATGTGGAATATCTGGACATTCCTGGAGGATGAGCTTTTTAACCAGTTTTCTGACTTTCTCTGCATTGGTGTTCTATGCCTTTTTCTGTATATGCCAACAGCCTGCTGCAGGAAAACCAAGTCAAAAAAAAAAAAACCCTTGGAACAGCCTCTTGGCCTCTTGGCAAGTAGGTTTTCCACTGTCATGCTACATTTCTGTCTGTTTCTCTAGGGAATCGATCTCTCCACATTGGTGGAGGACTTCTTTGTGATGAAGGAGGAAGTCCTGGCTCGTGATTTTGACCTGGGGTTCTCGGGAAATTCAGAAGATGTAGTCATGCATGCCATACAGCTGCTGGGAAATTGTGTCACAATCACCCACACCAGCAGGAATGATGAGTTTTTTATTACTCCCAGCACAACTGTCCCCTCAGTCTTTGAACTCAACTTCTACAGCAATGGGGTACTCCATGTCTTTATCATGGAGTCCATTATAGGTATGTCAAGCCCTGAAATATTTTCATGGAAAAGAGAGGGCCCTGAAACACATAGTGGTGTTTACTTCAGTTTGGAGGATAGCCCCTTACTTGAGAGAGTGTGTTGCTATATTTTTAGTTTTCAAATACAAATGTAATCTACATTACTATTTATAGCTTATTTTTACATTTATTCTTCAATAAGTAGTTCCTGAATTACTGTAGCGTATGCACAGTATTCCACTTATTACTGAGGAGCAGAGGTAAGGGGTCTGGCTATCCAGGAGCTGAAAAGCTAGGTGAGAGGAGACACATGCATGGCAGTGAAGTGAGTGGAGGGGGCTCATTTGTGATTAAGAGGGAGCAGAGAAGGAGGAGAGCAGAGGGGACTGAAGCCCCTGAGGAAGGTGTTTGATGGGTTTGGGATCATGTGTAATCATGAGAAGTGAATCCTAAGGGGATTTACTGAAATTTTTCCAGTGAATGCAGGTAATTATTTTGATATATTAACAATCTGTTGAGGGTAATCAAAGTTGTCTGAGCCAGTTGAAGTTTTTCTTGCAGATGTAAGGCTGCTGGCTTCACTGATGCTTTCCTTTCCTCAGCCTGCAGCCTTTACGCAGTTCTGAACAAGAGAGGCTGTGGAGGGTCTGCCAGCGCATCCCCCAGCTTGATCAGCCAGGAGCAGCTGGTGCGGAAGGCCGCCAGTCTGTGCTACCTGCTCTCTAACGAAGGCACCATCTCTCTCGTAAGTGAAGACTCTTTAGTGTTGCCTGTTCTCTTTTTCTTGAGCATTTTTATGAAAACAGCAACCACCTTTGTTTTTCTCTTAGAGAATTTTTGATCCATTTTTTAAGCTTTAAATTCTACTCCTGGGTCTCAATGACTGCCAAACCAATATGTCGTTTACTATCTCAGTTTGCTGTGGGGTCACTGCTCCAGTGAGTCCTTCATGCAGCTCTGAGGCAGGATAGGACAGATTGCTTGACGTCCTGCATCAGTCGGATCAAAGTTACTGAGCTCTGATTGTGCCAAAGGCACTGGGTCAGAGGTTTGTAAATAATTAACGCACCCACTTGTGGATGATAGAACCACAGAAGGTAAGAGCCATAAACAGTCTAAAAATCATCTACTCGGGGCCAGCCCCATGGCCAAGTGGTTAAGTTGGCGCATTCTGCTTTGGTGGCTTGGGGTTCGCCGGTTCGAATCCTGGGCGTGGACCTACACACTGCTCATCAGGCTGTGCTGTGGCAGCAACTCACACAGAAGAACTAGAATGTCCTACAACTAGGATTTACAACTATGTACTGGGGCTTTGGGGAGAAAAAGAAAAAAACATTGGCAACAGATGTCAGCTCAGGGCCAATCATCCTCACCAAAAAAATGCATACTTTAAAATTGTTTAAAAAAAAAATCATCTGCTCAACCCTTTCTCACTTTACAAATGGGGAAACTAAGGCGCAGTAGCACTAATGAGCAGTTATGTTATATCCAAGCCCTTTTAGACATTTATAATGAAGCACGTGTGAAGTAGTAGAGAGATTCTTTTCCTCAGAATCATCAACAAATAGAATTCCTATTATTTAAAGTCTAATCTCCCCTTCTACCTATTTGGACGTGTCCTGGGACATTTTTGAGTACACGTGTTAGGACTGCAACCTTCCTCCCCAGCATTCTTTGTATGTTGGTGGCCCTCTTGGGGAATCTGTTTTACGTGAACCTTGGGGAGACAGGATGGGAGGGGATAGAGTAGATAAGATCCCCAAGATTGACCTTGTCCTTTTCCTGGGTCTTTTGTGAGTTATTTGAATATTGTGTTTCCTCGTCCACCACTGTTGTGTACAATATTTACTGTCAGATAGCTTCTCAGAGAAATTGTCTGGTAAAGAGAAAGAAACAGGTGGTAGAGGCCTGACAGGCAGCTCCCCTGGGGGCGAGACTGAGCCCAGCAACCCTCCGCAGGTGGTCCGCACTGGGGCCTCTGCCAGTCAGGCCACACGTCTCTTCTCAGGCTTTGCTCGGGACCATGGCATTCATCAAGAGGGTGGGCATCGCAAGTCTTAGGACGTGCCTGGTGGAGTGAGGGAGGTGATGTCATGGGAGTATTTGGCAGCTACTTTTTACAGTGTCATCTGTCTTTAAAAAAAGAAGTATAGGACAGTGACGTTTACATTAAATTCTTCTTGTCAGCCCTGCCAGACATTTTACCAGGTTTGCCATGAAACAGTAGGAAAGCTCATCCAGTATGGCATTCTTATTGTGGCTGAGGTAAGAAAAGTAGCTTTCCTTTATTTAGTTTGTTCTTTGTTTCCTTATCTTTTCTACCAATTATTTTAACTGATAAATACATTCAATATATAGTCAAGTACGGATGAAAAGAAAAAAATAAGAATGAGGAGAATAAATGTCTTTTGGGATTGTTTAATATTTTGGTTCCTTTTGTGTAACTGGTATTGTCTAAAATGTGTCTTGACTTGATTCTGTGACATTCAGAAGTTTGCAGTCCAAGATGAGATGTTTATGTGTCACTGTGCTTGTAGCTCACACACATGCATTTTTCTCTGTTGAGGTTTTGTTTTAATTTTGGTAGATTTAGTATAGAGACTATGGCCTGGGAAAGCAGATGTCAATTTAGAAGAGGTGAGGTTATCTTTATTTGATCTGTCTGATAGCTTCCCCGCCCCCAACTCTTTTTTTCATTCCCTGCTGTCTCCCAAATGATTTTGAGTTTGGAAAGGGAAGTGGGTTGACTCTGAATGGCTGAACAGTGAAGAGTAGGGAAGCGAGAGAGAGAAGACTGCTCTTTCCGGGGTCCAGCTGGGCAGGTGTTTATGTGGCCATGCATATTTATTTACTGTTGGTCATCTCCTTGGCATAGCAAGATGATCAGGAAGATGTTAGTCCTGGACTTACTGAGCAGCAGTGGGACAAGAAGCTCCCAGAAGCTTTGTCTTGGAGAAGCGATGAAGAAGATGAAGACAGTGATTTTGGTGAGGAGCAGCGAGATTGCTACCTGAAGGTACTTTGGTGAAGAATTCGAGTGGACATTACAGTGATGAGTTGAGGTCGATGTTGCCACTGGTTAATGAGGTTCTTATAAACTAGGCCTCTGGTGTTGTATTCATATCTCATGCACCCACAAACCAGCTATGGTACTTTCTACCTAGTAAAGACACTCAAACTGTTTGAGTTGAATTAACACCTGGAATTGTTCAGTTTGGGGATAGGTAAATGGAAAAGGAAAGAGGAGTCTGAAAATTCAGGAAGGTGAACGCCATAGATGATACCTTTCATGAGCCTCTCATGAGCGTGCACAGGTGCAGAGCTGGTCACCCACAGCTGCACTCACTCCTAAAGAGGCAGTATTTTCGTTCAGACGTCACCAAAGCAAGGAAATACCACACCAGGTGTGGGCGAGAAATCAATATTTAGCTGTCCTTGGCCTCATTGCCCTTTTTGAGTCATTCTCAGTCTTGCCATCCCTCCCCAAATTTCATATGTTGAGCTATTTGCTTTCAATTAAAGTAAATGCTATCACAGGAGAAAATTTGGATTTTTAACAGATTATCTCTGATCTACAAAAGTCAGTGTTGTCTAATTTGCAATTTTAGAAACTAGTAATAATGACCCATCTTTTCTGAATACCCTAAGTGGATTGCTCCATCTCCAGTGGGATAACACCCCTAGTTTGCATGCACACGCACATGCACACAGTTAGAAGGTATAGCTTCTGGAGATTCCAAAAGACATTTGGAAGTTTTCCCATTTTGGGTATTATTAGTTTCAGGAAGGGGCAATGATCTTGCTTCCACACTCTGGAGGGGCTCATCTGAACGTGCGTGTTTTGGGTGGGTACAGGGAGAGCCCCCCCTCCCCCCTACAAAGCACCTTCTCACCACCACGGTCACTCCCCACTGTGCTGGACTGTGGACCTAAGGCTGTGTGGGGGTGGCAGGAAGTGAGGGCTTGGAAAGACTGAGATGACCTGGGTGGACTTGCCAGGTGGCCTTTTTGCACACTTGAGTGACTGCCGAGCCAGGCTTCAAACCCTGGAGGGTCCAGCCTTTGAATCAGCTATTTTCAGTGATGACAACATGTCATAATTATGTCATTCAAGTATGGCAGTTTCCTCTAGGCAGCTGTTCAGTGAATGCAAACCTCAAATACTGTAAAAGTCAATGATTATAATAAAGAATGCATTTCAAAACCAGCCATTGTTTCCAACTGAGATTCTGTGCACGTGGAGCAATAGGCCGCTTCTGTGTAGTGACAGTGAGAAGTTGTCTTCTCAAGTTACTTTTTCTCCAAGGATGTTTGTCTGTGAGTGGCCTTGTTTCTTCTGTCCCTTCTCCATGACTTCGTCTCCCATCTTGCACTCCTAGGTGAGCCAGTCCAAGGAGCACCAGCAGTTCCTCAGCTTCCTGCAGAGGCTCCTTGGACCTTTGCTGGAGGCCTATAGCTCCGCTGCCATCTTCATTCACAACTTCAGTGGTCCTGTTCCAGAGCCTGAATATCTGCAGAAGCTGCACAAGTACCTAATCACCAGAACGGAAAGAAATGTTGCAGTATATGGTATGTGTGTCACAGTTTTGGCTTCTTTTAAAAGCTATGCCTTTTTTGATTACAGAGATCTGCTAATTATAGACACTTGGGGACAAAAAAATGCAAAATTATCCTGACCTGGAATGCATAGATTTCTACTGTAATCTGTCTTGATATGTTATATAAATTACATGACACAGTTATATAACCTCATGTCTGACTTTTTTCACTTAACATTATAAGTGAAATTTGCACATGTTGTTACATGTAGTTATTTTTGCTGCTTTGTAGGATTTCACGGTGTAAATAATTATCATGTTTTGTTTATTCATATCTATCATTGGTGGATATTTGGGTTTGAAGTTCAGAGCTACTATGAATAGTACTGCTCTGAAGGTGTTTGAATATGTCTTCGAGTGAACATTTGTACGCGCTTATCTTGGGATGGATCTAGGAGGAGAGTTCCCTCGTCACAGGGGTGAGGCGTGTGCAGCTTTAGTGGGTGCTGCCCAGCGCCTCCTAAGGGGTGCACCAGTCTGCATCCCCAGCTGCAGTGTGCGTTTCAGTGCTCCCCATCCTGGCCAGCACTTGGTGTATTGTCTCTTATGTGAGACATGTGACTCGGGTGGGAGGAGCATTTTATACAGTTATGGTTTAGGACTGAAACTACTTTGAATCACTAATTTTTAGAAGCAAAGTGTTCTAAAGATAGTCCATCTCTAGGTATATATGTGGCGATCTCTTTCTCTCTGTAGAGATAGATATTTCATCATCACCTCACTTAGAGTTGAGGAAACTCTCCCAGATCACAGAGTAGCGAGGGGCAAGCCTGGGTTTAGAGCTGTTGTTTTCCCACCTCTAGATTTGTGCTCGGCCTGCTTCCACGGATGCAGGAATCGTCTGTACATCACTGTGCAGTTTAAAGAAATTCTACTCTGTCTTGTTTCATTCTCACAAAAAGCCTTCAGGATGGATGTTTTAGGTATTTCTCCTTGCCTTCTTTCCTCTCTCTCTTTCCTTCCTTCCTTCTCTTCAGGTTTTTCTTTCTCTCTCTCTCTCTCAACTTCTCTCTCTTTTTTCCTTAAAAGATGACAAAGTAGGATTAAAGAAATGGCAAATCATTTGGGACCTCACAGGTCACCAGTTGCAGAAATGGATCTTGACCCCAGTCCACTGACTTGCTCTACTCCTCTTCAGAGCCTCCCACACTTCCTTACTGTGGAAATGGGGGTTTTCGTGTTTTGCTGACCCTAAACATTTGACAGGGTCTTATTCTTTCTCTACAGCTGAGAGTGCCACATATTGTCTTGTGAAGAATGCTGTGAAAATGTTTAAGGATGTTGGGGTAAGTGTCCACTGCTGGTGGTATAAGAGCGTGTGTTACCTTCTGTTCTCTTTCCATTAGATCTGGTCTATTTGAGCCCCCTTTGTGTGGGGGTGGACCCCGAGAGTTCCTGCTGGGTTTATCATGAAGGCATTTCTGGGCATTATGGGGGAAGGGGCATGCTGAAGGTGAGGCGCATCAGCACAGATTTATTTGAATGTTCCAGAATTTTCCTGGTTTTCATTTTCATTCCAGAACTGTTTATATATAATAAGGTTCAATGAGTTTCAAGATGGCAGTACACTTTGGCAGGGATATTAATTATACCATATGATTTTCAGTTATTTTCTTGTGTTTTTACCCGTATTTCTAGAAGTATCCTCAGGTCACCTGCACATATCATGTGAGACATGAGTTTCGTGGAGGTGCTAGTGGCCTTTGTAAGGGACTCTTTGTGACTTTATTCTAACATAGTATGCTGGTTGAACTCTACTCGCAGAAACACCATACCTGCACCCCTAGCCCCCCCCCCACCCCATACTTGCATGCACCCACACGTACATCTACTTAAAGCCAGGCTATGGGTTTATGTGTCTTACTGCCTTTTGGGGTCTAGGACACAAGTCAGTGTTGGTGACAGAAACGTCTCTTTTTTGTTGTTGTCTTTAATTTAATCTAAACTTTCTCTCTAGGTTTTCAAAGAGACCAAACAAAAGAGAGTGTCTGTGTTAGAACTCAGCAGCACTTTTCTACCTCACTGTAACCGGCAAAAACTCCTAGAATACATCCTGAGTTTTGTGGTGCTGTAGGTAACTCCTGCACCGCCGGCAGGTGAAGGGCGTGGGATGAGTCCCTCGTGGGCTCCAGCCTCGGGCTCAAGAGTGGAAGGTGCCGTCATGTGGTCAGGCCTGACCTGTCCTGATGTGACCTCCTGGAAGACAAGTGCCTTCTCCCCTCTGTGGATCTGTGATCATCCCAACCCTGCGATGACACAGCAGCCTACAGCTGACACTTTGGGGGGCCCTCAGCCTCCATTTGCAATTCATAATCAGTAGATTACAAAATGAATCTCAAAAAATTATTTTGGAGTTTATTAAAGATTTACATTTTAAGTACAACTGTTAAGGACTAATTACTGTGATGGACACAAAAACGTAGTTGTATTTTAGAACTGAATCTTGTGTAGTATACTTAATGCTGTCGGGTAGTTTGTTGGTATATTTTCTGATTTTCCTTTAAAAATAGTTGTTATCCAGTGACTGTTTTTTTCAGTTTCATCTTTGTCAATAGTAGCTAAATTTTAAATGGGAACACGTTTCATTCCAAAGTGCTTTACGAATGGCTGGGCTGATGTACATCGCACCCAGAGGTCACTGTGCTGCCCTTTGCAGTCAGATTTAGAAAGCATTTTAAGGGCTACATGAAAACGCAAGTAGTTTAGGTCAGGAAGAGAGATCATGTGATGAAATAGCTAACATCAGGAAGAAAATTTGGCTGGCAAATTCAGGGTAAATTTGGCCAGAAAACTGACTTTGAAAACTTTTGCTCGTATAAAAAAGTGCCGTTGAGTTTTAAATGACCAGTAAGTATTTAGGAACAGCTCCTGTTCTATGTCTGTACCCCTCCCACCCCTCAGGTGGTACCTGCCTCTCACAGGTACAGCTGTTTCTTGGAGATCCTCCAACCAAATAGCAACTGTCCCTACTTGATTAGCTTGACCTGATAGGCTGTGTCAACATAAAGTGCTGCGACTACAGGCTGCTGACCCAGGGCTCTCATGCACTGCATGCAGGTTGTGCACTGCACATAGTCTGGGTCACTGATAGCCACTTGAACTGTGCAGTGGACAACCCGTGCAATATGTGTGGGGGCCCTACTGACTGATAAATGGGCGGAGGCATTTATGGATTTTTAGCTTTGAGGAAAAATGATGGAAATTAAAAAATGTATATGTGTTATATGCTTAGACTCTGATGCCACATAGTGGTAACTAATTACGAAAAATTGTTTATAATGGGTAGGTGCCTTTTTGTGAGCAGGGAGTGTAGTTGTTAGTTAATTGTGGTAATAATGGTGATTTCTTAAAGATCATGTGATATTAAAATGTTTTCTAATAGCTTATTCTTCCCGCTCTCCATGGTGTTATGGAATTAGGAGTTTTTCCTGATGAATATTGCATAGCGTCTTTGAATTTAAGATTTAAGTTTGCACTTTCATGAGCTTGGATCTAAACACTAACAGATCTCGAGTCGCCTGTGTGTCGGGAGAGGGAAGGATGCCAATCGGTATTGCACGTTGTGTGGAGTATTGCGTGTGACATTCATAGCAATAATGCTGTGCTGCTGTCATCTTCTTCCATTGTTCCCAAACTCAGCATTTAAGATGTGTTTTTTCTTTACGGGCACTCATGTACCATTAAGCCCTTGTCAGTGTTGTGGCAGTTCGGCTGTGGAGGCCCTCGGCGTGCAACATTCCATTTTACCAGTGAGCAGAGAAGAACACTTCTTCTGTAGGCTGCAGGGAGGCTTACTTATCCCCTTGAGTGTTCCTTAACGGGGCAGATAAACACTTCACTTGTCCCATTTATTTGTCCCCTAGATTACACATCAAGGATTCCTCCAACTCTCTCTTAGCTGGAAAGTCATGGTTGGGACTGACTTCCTAGTGAATATTGCTGCCCTGCCTGTCCCTTGTGCTAAGAGCTGCTGCCGCACCAGCCCGAGCAGGACACAGTGGCTTCTCTGGCTTTATCTTCCCTTTCAGTTGGTTTGTGTTCTGGAAATCTAATCAGATGCTTTGGGGAATGCAATGTATATATGATTTGCTAGCTCGCTCGCCACTTAACTCACTGTGAGAATAAATATGCATGCTTTTTGTAATTAACTGGTGCTTTGAAAACCTTTTTTAAGGAAGAAAAATCTCAACCAAAGTTATGCTCATCCAGACAAGCTGACCCTTGAGTTTATTTTAGCACAACTCATCCTTCAGTGCCTCATTACTGAAAAAACATGCATCTTCACAATAAGGCTTCCAATAGCACTATCTCGCTAAAAGATCATTCTCATTGTTTTCCAAAAGCGAATGGCTTCCATGTAAGATTAAACAAATTAGGTGCTTGTAAATAATTTATGACAGTTTACTCTATTGCATTTCTATAAAACTGAAATGCATGCTCTCCAGGGGAAGGCTGTGAGTTAAGTTAAAAAAACAAACAAAAACATCCAATAATAAGCAATATGAAACTGCACTCTCTCAAAATAAGAATGTCCTAAGTAATTCAGAAGAGGGGAAGGACTCTTTGCTCTCTTAAATTTTAAGAAAAAGGGCAAGAACTAGTGTGAAGTGCATAGAACTAGTAACAGAGAAAGTGCCCTGACTCTTCCTTCTCAGATCTCTTGAGTCTCCCGAAGTCCTGAGGGTGAGTGGAGAAAATATGTTGGGAATTGCAATGAGTGTAACTCAGATTGTGAGATTTCCAGTCACCTGAAGGGGAAAACATTCCCCGTAGAGCTCCATGTCATGTGAGTGTGCTGCGAGATGTTCACAGGTGTCTTGTAGCAAAAGCATTCCTGGTAAAATAAATTTGCACGCAGATCCTCTTTCCTAGAAACTCACAATGCACTTTAGGTCAGTGAGGGCTCAGGGTCCGGCAGAACCAAGCCTGTTTAACCTCACTTCTCCAAACTGTTGAAACCCCAGGTCCGTATTTCCCTATGGGACACCTGTGAACCTCTCGCTAGTACCCACGGAAAATATTTGGGGAAATACTATGTTAGGTAGTTGTTTAAGGGAGCAAAACAGTAACATGTGGCACTGAGGCAGAATTTGCATGCACTTGGTACAATCAAATGTCGCATTTAATAGATGTATATTTCCTCCCCTGGAGACAACAAGCACAGAAAACTGTAATATAAGTAGTTAGAGCAGAGCTCTTTCCTTTGATGGAAGTATCAGCCATCAATGATCCTGGGTTTGTCACCGAAAGTAGCAGAATTAACACAGGGACTCACTGGGGTAAATAAGATTTTAATTCAGATCTAGAAGAAATTATTGCACAACTGAATGCAGATTTTTATCCACAGATAGTCCTATTGTTTAGAAATGATAGGACCTATCATTGACGTTTATGAGACTTAATTTGGATGTGAATCTTTTTTAAAGCACTCTTTTTAGGAACTTAAGACTTGACATCTGGCATTTTAGTTTAATACAAGCTAATGATTGCATTTGAAAGAGACTTTTGACTTTATTTCTAAACATCTAAAGCTCTGAAATGCCTTGATGGAAGGTGTTAAACTATTTACCTGTTGTACAAAGAAACGTTAGATTGTTGTAAAGAGAATTACTATAAGGTACTGTAAAATAACACTGTGTGATTTTGTGGGTGACACTTATTTGGAAACATTGATTTTTATGCCTGTTTAATGTATTGTAAGAAACACAGAAATGTAGTTTTATTTTAATAAAGCAAAAAATGAATGTATTCCTGATGTCTTGTATTTGTAGTTAAAAGTTCCCTACGTCATTCATTATATAATTGTTGTGACATTTGACTTTACATAGAACTTTATTAAAATGCTTATAAGAAACAATTTTACATACATTTATGAACCTACAGTGCATGATTTTATTATTGACTCAGAGCTCTTTCAATTTGATCAAGCATTTGGAGATGTACATGTCTACATCTTAGCTATTGTTCTCCTTAGTTAAATACATCGCAGGTATTTATTGGGTTTCTGTAAGGATTCCTTTAAACTTGGTGCTTCTGTCACATTTATATATAAAGTTTATAAAAGTATGCACTGAAGTGTTAGGTTTTTTCCTACTAGTTCACACTAATTGCTCAAAAAATATTCGTTTACTTTTTTGACAAATAAGACCAGTATTAGAGCACTATTTTCTGTGTGCCCAAATGCAGCCTTTTCTCAAGAGTGTGCCTCCAGGAAAGGGTGGTAACCATATGCCTGGCGATGCCGTCCATGCCCTTTGGGTGCATGACGTGGCTGAGAACTTGACTGACACACTCAAGAGCATCCCCTCCATTCTCCGCCAGCATCTCTATCTGAACTTGTCCTTTCGTCCCTCTGATTTCCTCTGGGATGTTGTTACTATGACTATGCCTTTGCCCCTTGGTGCACTCATTCATTCCTTTGCATTAGCAATTCTCTTGCTGCTGCCAAACATATCTTTATCGTAGCAAAATTCTAACTTTTACAACCACTCACTCTCTTTAAGTGGATATTAATTTTGAAGCCGAATCTCTTGCTGTTTAGTCCTGTCCTGACTAATTGTAGTCCTGTCCGCTCCCCTTTTTAACACCTTGCAGTCCATCTTCTACACATTTAGTAAAATTTTAACGAACCTCCTTGACAAGTACAAAGGCATTTTCTTAATTGTTGCCCACAGCACCGTGATGCCCAGCTACAGCCTGGCTCTCCCTGGGGGCTGCTTTCGCTCCTTTAATTCCCGTGGTCTTGTCTCCTCTTCTAGCTCCTTCATGACTCTGCTCTTCTACAGCTCTTCCTTGCCTCCCACCCCTTACCAGATGGTCCTGGTGTTGTCACCGGATTCTCTGATTTTTTTTAAAAAAGTCAATTTTGTCTGGAATTTGTATTTTTTTATATGAAAACACTCAATTTTTACATGGTGGTACAAGAAACTATGTGGTTCCTATAAACTGCCTCTTTGGCCATTTCTGTCTTGTCAGCTGCCAGTTCATGTCTTCTGGCCTAGGAAAAAGAGAGATGAAAAGACCAGATGAAGGTACCCCTTCCAGGAGCCGGAAGGGAATCCATAGTTGGGAGAGGATTGATCTTGCTCATCTGAGTTAAGCAGGGATGAAGATTTGAAGCAAGTCTTTGATGAAGACCACTGGGTGATGCTTAGCCAGGCAGTGGGCATCTGAGCCTCCCTCTGATGTCATTGCCATGCCCATAGCGAGGAAAGCATATGTCAAAACCAGCCAGTGTTGGCCACTATCAGTGGGCTTGGTACCAGTGTAAAAGCCAGTTATGACATGAAGTGATTAGAATAAATGAGTGAACAAACTCAAATTCCAGCCTTCTGGAAAAACACCTTGCCACCTTCATATCGCAGGTCAGCTGAAAATTAGAAGGCAAAGAACACATATAAGACACACCCTCACACACCTGCTGAAAGTCCGCAACTGACAAAGCCAAGATTCAGAACTTAGTAGAAGTGAGGTGGCTCCATAAGGTCAGTTAGAGCCCTTTTCCTTGCTTCTTTCTGGGTTCCTTCTTGGTGGGCGGATCCTATACCTGGATCTCGTTTGCCTGCAACAGTCCCTCCACAATTATTAATAATGCACCCATTGACTCTCTGAAGAGCCCAGATTTGTGTGGTCACTGTATCTATGGGACACGCAGCTGCCAGTGACAGGGCGGGTCCTGCTGGAGTTGAGAAAGAAGCTACCTTTTTATTTTTCAATCTACTCAGGTGTTTATTACTTGAAAACTTTAACCATCTTTGAATTTACTTGTAAGGAAATGTTTGTAGACATCTAACTGCTGCTTCTTGAACAAATCTTAGGACTTACGGGGAGACAGCAGAGAAACAGCCCAGATGTTCCCCAAGTAATCTCTCTCAGCTTTTCAGAATCTCACAAACCCCTCTCCTCTACTACTTTTGGAGGGTTGGAAGCCAAATTCACATGCGTCATTATTGTTGTTGAAATGGCAAGCAAAACATTGCCACTTCTATGTCATGATTCTAGGTGTTCATGGTGGGGAAGAGAGCCACTTGTGTCCCTTCACCTAATAAGGAAACAGTAGAACACGTGGACCCATGATGGGGATTTCAAGGAAGGATTGAATATGGCTGCTCTCTGTAGACCAGTGGTGGTCAAGTGTGGTCGCCAGACCAGCAGTGTCAGCACCACCTGGGAACTTGTTGGGAATGCAAAGACTTTGGGCCTCACCCCAACACCCAGCAATCTGTTTTAACAAGCCCCTGGTGATTTTAATGCACGTAAAGTTTGAGAATCCCTGCTCTAGACACTTTGCCTTGGCAAAAATGGGGCTTGCACAGTTCTGCACAGTGTACTCAGAAAGTGTACACAAGGCAGGGGGATCGGTAATAAACGCCCTTTCCAAAATGGCTGCTTCTCAGGGAAGTATGAAAGCCATCAAGTTAACTTGACAGAACTAGGCTTTAAGGTAATGGTATGTGGATCTTCTCTGTGCGTCGAGAGGCTTCTATACTGGGAAACAGTGGCCTTGAGTCTTGTCACTGCTTAGCTATCTCTATAGATGCCAGCCTAGCTCCTGTGCTGTGGGACTTGTACCACAAAGCTTGGCATCTGGGTGCTTCTCAGCCCTCAGTCTATGAAAAGGAAGGCTTGCCAAGTTTTGTTCTGTGTGTGAGTTTTTCATGACCTTTCAAATCAGTTTTTGTTATTTTTAATAAGAGGAATATAGCAGAAGGAGTATGGGGTTTGAGGAGCAGTAAACCTAGAACTGACTCCGGCTCTCGTGTGCACTTGGAGGAAGACTTTGAGCCAGCTGCAGCATCCCAGTGAACATGGTTGTCCTCTGCATTGTAAGGGAACAACCTCACAAGGCATTTTTTAAGATGGAATTGTAACTTAACTCTGGGTCTGTCTCTTGGCAAGTGCAGAGCCAAAAGGCACAACCAAGGCTGAAGTGGGTGAAGAAAAAGGTTTATTGCTTGTACAAGCAATGGAGAACGCTGGGGATAGCTCCCAAAGCAGTGTCCCCCCGAACTTAGTGCTGATGAAGACTTTATACACCAAAGTGCAGAGGATATGTTACAATTGTGTAACAACTGGGCCCAGTCAGGACACATGTGCAGGTCATTACATAATGAGTTCAATGTAACATGCAATTACATAACAAAGTCAAGATACCATTACGTAATGAGTTCAGTGTAACCTGCCATTACATAACAAGGTCAAGGTACCATTACATGACAGGTTCAATGCAACATGCCATTATATAATGAGCTCAGGGAACGTATCACTACATAATGGGTCCATGGTAACTTTTGGACACTTAGAGCTGGAGCAATTTGCAGGGGTCTTGCTGCAACCATGTTAGTTTCACTGTAGGATGGCAGCATCTGCAAAAACAGGGACATCCACCTCTGAAAAATAGTGCATTTAGTTTTCTCCTTGTCTGGAAAATACTTGACAGACCATGTTGGTTATCGATCAGATTTTTAGTAACCCTTTCCTTGCCTGGTTCTGGGTCACAAAATTAGGTGGAGTGAATATGGAAGTGTTTTGTAAGCCTGAGAGTGTTGTGGCTGTGTGGTATTTGGTTTTCTCGATTTCCTGTTTAGGATAGAAAATTAGCTCTGAAAGGGAAATTTGGAGTCACCTAGCATTCAGCCTCCCAAGTTTTACAGAAGAGAAAATCTCCTGTGCTCACGCAGTAAGTTGATAATTGGATCTGGAACAGAAGCAACATCGTTTGACTTTCAATCCCATGACCATCAGCCAAGGGAATGTGAACAAACAAGCAAAATGATGAAGCTCCCATCCAGTGAAGCAGGGATAATCCATGGGTTTGGGGTGGAACTTGGCAAGTCGCATAGTGATGTGAAACTGGAAGAAAGGAAATTGGCTCCAACAAAACAATGTGCTAGACATGCTCGTAGCCAGGACTTATTTGTGTGTCTATAGTTAGGCACTTTCTGTGTGTCATCTTGATCCTCTAGGGTGGGTACTGTTAGCCCCATATCACCACTGATGAAACTGAGGCTCAAGGGTGCAGTAGTCTGCTGAAGACTTCTGCCAAGGTGGAGTTCAAAGTTGCTCTTCATCATGGTGACACGTTTCTTCCTGGGGGTTGCAAACTCTGCCTTCATCCTGTACAACTGATGGAGGCATGGAGGAGTAGGACAGAAAGCCGTAGGTCTCAAGACAGGCGGAAAATAATCTAAGGATTCTTTCCATCGTTCCGCAGAGTTTCTTCTTCAACAATCCATTGTGAGGTTGTCCCTATAGAAGACAACCATGTTCACTGAGGTGATATGACTAGCTCAAAGGATTTCACAGAAGCCCTCTTAGACCATGCTCTCGGCACAAACAGAGCTGAGCAAGAGAAGAGCTTTTGAGATTGAAGATGGCGAGAATTTGCTGCCATTTATTGCCTATTTGTTATGGTGCAGAGCCAAAACTCAGCAATAATTAGCATATGTGTTGGAGGAGGTCATCAGGAGAATGTGTCTGCTGGTTGACCCACAAGCTGGACCCAGGCCATCGGAGGCCCCTCACCCCAACCCCTGTCCTTGGAACGTATGTTCTGCCTACTATTCTCCCGCTAGCAGCTGTTTCAAGGACGCAGTCTTGAGAGAGTAAGGTGTTGTTCAGACCATCTGGACTGAATGTGTAAAGCCTCTACATAAACCGTTAAGATTCTGGTGAGGCATGTGAAGATCTGTGTGTCTTGCGGCCACCCAAGACAAGCCTTGTAAGTTAGTTTCCTTGCTTGTTAAGAC